TATATATATATATATATATATATATATATATATATATATATATATGGATCGGTTTAGTCTAATGCAAGTGATTTAGTAGAAATTACAATTTAGAGTTCAATTTACTTTTTAACCATATTTTATCTTAAAAAAGAATTTTAATTGTTTTGTTATGGTCCAGTCGACACTAAGAGGGGGGTGAATTAGTGCAGTGGATAAAAATCATGTCAGTTCAAAATTTCTTTTCGATTAAACTTGTTTCGAAAAGAGCTTGACTTCAGAGTTAAATGAACTAGCAATTAACTTAGAAAGTAATGACAGTAATGAAAAGTAGAATGGAAATTAGCACACCAGAATTTATAGTGGTTCAGTCGTCGTGACCAACATTCACTCTACCGATTCCCCTTCCATCAAGGTGATTCGTATCCATTAACGATCTTCTTTCAACGAACGAAGATCAACTACCCTTTTACACCCCTCTTCTTCTTTTCATAGGTTTAGGAGATAATCTTTTACAACCCTCTTTTATAAGGTATTCCTCACACATCTCCCTTAGAATTCTTTTTAAGCTTTACGAGGAGAGAACTCAACTTTCTAATAGGATTTACAACTTTAGAATCACATAATTTAGCTCAACTTTCTTGCTACTCTATATAGGAATAATTGGAGTATTTATATGCCTCAAATAGCTTCAAAACTTTAAGTCAAAATTCAAATACCTGAGATTTCGAGGTATGGGCGGTACCACTTCTTGTAGCTTGACACTCGACGGTACCACCGCCTAGTCTAGCGGTACCACCGCTTAACACACTGTCATTGGTGGTACCACCACCCAATCTAATGGTACCATTACTTGATAGTCTCGGAGATCGAGTTTCTTTAGTTTTCCAACTCATAGGTGGTTCCACTGCCTGTTCTGGCGGTGCCACCACCTGACCCAACTTTTGGGTCACTGAATGAGCCTCCCAATGAGTTCAAATCAATCATAATTAAGACCCAATTGGCCCAGTTAGCATAATTACATCAAAGCTAACTCAATTAGTACCCCTAAACTACTTCAATCTTAGACAAATGATTTACCGTTTTTATTATATTATAATATTCTATAAAAATACTCTAATGATTTATTTGAATTGCAAGAGAATGAAATATTTTTATTACAGAAAGGTTGACACTATAATACTTCATAAAAACACTGTGAAGAAATGTTTTTATTATTGTTTTCGAATGCATGATGCAAATAATTTTGTTGTATAATTATGTATATGAAATATAGTGTAATGAAAATAAATATATATATATATATATATTAAAATATTACATATATAGTGTTTTTATGTTAATAGTTTATAGTGTTGTAGAAATGTGAATGAAAACAATATAAACATTTTTCAGTTTATTTTTTGAGTCCATAATCATTTGGTGAAGGGGGTTAATAAATCTGAGATAATTTATAATTTAATGTCATTGTTTTATCTTTATTTTTTTTTAGTGATTTAAAGTATGTCAAAGTTTTGAAAAAATCAGTGAATGTAGAAACGAATGTTTTAAGAATTCTTCAAGTTTTCACAATGTTATGCTTAGCTTTTTCGATGTTTAGTCAACTTTACATAGATATTATTGGTTTGATATTAGAGAGATTGCTCTCTTTGTGGATGTCAAAACACTTTGTAAATATGGAATGTAGTGTTTCTAAAAACTCTTTACAGTGTTTTGGAAATATGAACGAAAACACATTGAACACTTCATAAAAATACCTTAACAAAATATTTTTAGATTGTGTTTTTCAAATCCATGATCATTTGGTGAAAGTAGTCAATAAGTGTGAGGTGATTATGATAAGTTATTGCTATCACATCTTTGAACTTTTTTAGTGATTCAAATTTGATCAAAGTTTTGAAAAAATTGATGAAAGTAGGAATAAATATTTTGAGAATTCTTCGACTTTTCGGATTATCGTGATTAATTTTTTTCAATATTTAGTCAAATTTACATAAATGTTATTGATTTGAATTTATAGCGATTGCCCAAAAAAGTTACAAGAAAATACTTCATAAAAATATCATAATAAAATAATTTTATCATAGTACAATTATGTATATATAATATGGCGTAATGAATGTAAGAATTACTAACATATTAGATATATAGTATTTTTATGTTCTATCTAACGATTTAGAAATACGAATAAAAACATTATAAACACTTCATAAAAGCATCTTAATAAAATATTTTTAGATTATTTTTTGAATCCATCAATATTTAGTGAAAATAGTTAACAAGTCTGAGGTGATTTATGATGTGAAATTGTTGTCTTATTTTTTAACTTTTTTAGCCATTCAAATTTGATTAAAGTTTGAAAAAAAATTAGTGAAAGTATAAATAAATATTTTATTTTATTTTTACTTTTCATATTGTTGTCCTCTGCCTTTTTCATATTTAGTCAACTCTACATAAATGTTATTGCATATGTTGGATATATTGTGTTTTTATGTTCTCATTACATTGTTTTAGAAACACTAATGAAAACATTGTAAACACTTCATAAAAATATCTTAACAAAATATTTTTAAATTATTTTTTGAATTCATGATCATTTGATGAAAGAAGTTAATTAGCACTAAGACAATACACCCATCATAATGAATAGAGACAATCATAAGTGTTCTAATCGGTTCTTAGCTGATTAGATTATACACTAAAGATGATTATTACAGATATATATATAAAAGATTTGGTATTGTCATATATTATAAGAAGGTATGTCTAGCATATGAGATAGAAATGAATAAGGTTCATGGAGATTTTATGGAGTCATATATGGACTTATCCCATTTTTAAGGGAACTTAAGCTTCATAACTATGATACAATAATTTAGTTGTTGATAACATCTCAAGGAAAATTTCGACGAGGTTTTTCGACATTTGCGGTTGTATCAAGGAAATTTCAGGCCTATGTTCGATATAAATGCAACTCAAAGTATTCGGGTGCTTTATTAATTGCTATAGTAGAAGTAGATAGTGAATTATTTTAGTTTAGAGATAAGAGCGGGTTCCATAGAAACTATAATTTAGGGATAAAGGCAACGACAGATGTGAGAGGATGTCGAAGAATCGACAAGATAAAGTCAAACAACAAAGATCCGAGAAAGAGAATGCATACGAGCCGACAAAAGGATTCCATCGATGGCTAAGGTGAGCGAATCTTTATAGAGAAAACTCAAAGGAGTACAAGAAAGAAGAGTCAATTGTAATAAATAGAAATCGATTCAGACAACCTATCTAAGAACAATTAATGAGGTCGACTAAATCAAACAATAAGGTACCTTTGATCTCTCCAACATAATAACGAGAGTGACAGTATGTTTTGGTGGTATTTAAAAAGGTACCTTTGATCTCTCCAACATAATAACTCAAAAAATTGATATTTTCTCAAACAATATGCTTCGTGTATATGATAAAAAGGCAAAAAAAGAAGAAGAAAGCAAATTAAAACAAAGATTCTTTCAGCTTTGTTATTATATTTTGGTGGTATTTAGTGAAACAAAATGATTTATTATTTTTGTCGAGCTTCGACTCTTCATGCATTTAATATTAGTGGCGTGTCCAAACAGTCATTTGACGTGTTTCTACTGCTTCATCTCTCTACTCACCATTAATGGTGTGTTGTCACAGAAACGCATGCAAGAAGAACATTTGATCTTGACAGATATCAATAGGGTAGAGAGAAGATGTAGTCTGCAACGTATGATGTGACAATGAACTTACGACATTAGGACGAACACTTGGTGATGAAATCGAATCCTTTATTCTGAAGGAAGGACACCATGAATGAGAGAGAAGGCATCTCCTCAAGCAATGTCGAATTCCCTCTTGAGCACTTCCTTTAGCTTCATGATTTGGTCCTCCGGAAGGATCAACACCGCCGCTCCTCCTTTGCTTCCGCCACCGGCATCGGCTCCTCGGGGAAACACAAGAACTGCTCCCTCGTCGCCGACCCCATCGATCACGCAGTCAACCTGAACAGGCTTCTCGCCCTTGATGTCCAGCCCACTCAAGTCAACTCCCTCCATATCCACAAATGTAAGATTTGCACCGTAGACGACGAAGTCCGGCTTGCCGCCATCGCCGTCGATCGATTCTTCCACCAGCTTCGTCTCATCCACTTGCTGCTTCGACACCAGCTGTGCTAGTTCTGCCAGGTCGAGATCGACAGGAGAAGCAGCTGAGGTACTGACTGTGCTTATCATCTGCTCGTTGCTCAGTTGTGCACACCTCTTCGCCCTAGGCTTGTGTCTGCAGATGGTGACCACCCTGGGTTCTCTGCCGCCTCTTCTAACACTTGCCAAGCAGCGCCAGAAGAGAGCCGAGATCATCTCGAAGGCCGGGACGCCGTTCAGCTTCTCGGATTGCAGGCGCTCGAGCCTGCTCTCTGTGATGGTAATGGAGTCCGTAGCCATTTTGCAGGCGTTGGTGACCAGCCAGAAGTCTCCAACCGGTTCGACCTGCTTGACCGAGAGTGGCGTGGCAGATGCAGGTGCTTGTCTCGCAGGCCTTCCCGTAGGAGTCCGGGCACTGTGCGGAAGAAGGGATTTGGGTGGTGGATTACCACCGAGCAATCGTCCCCACAGGTTGATGCAGTTCGTCCCTGTTACTGGGTCTCCAAGCACATGAGACCAGCTGTACCCAATCGCCGTCCCTCCGCACTTGAACTTAGTGAACTGTTCACATGAGAAAACAAGAACACATGAGAAGAAGACGATGAATCGAAGCAGCAGCAGGTAAAGGCCTCAAGCCATAATGGTGCAGAGAAGAGTAGGAAGCACGTCACATGGCATCATCTCCACTCGAACCTTTCAACTGCGCATATAATCGAGTCTTAATGTGTCGTTACCGAAGACTTATAAGACGGTTTGTGGCAGATAGTAATCCTTCACCGTCTTCTGCACAGTTGTGGACACATCGGAACGAGTCATCGTCTTCGTCTTCCCTTCGACACAAATATGTGAGGTTGACCGACGGGAACGACCATTACAATCCAATAACAGTGCCCGTGTAGGACAGATCATGATGCATATCTATGGAATCAACAGATAGGTGAGGGAGAGGATCACCTGAACGTAAACCATGGGGGAGAAGTGCAGCTCCGGGCCGAGGACCTTGTCCGGAACAAGCGGCCTCCACCTGGCCGAGTGCGGCACCCGCAGCCACTCCTCGAGGGTCCGGCAGCACTTGGCCTCCACGATCCTCACCCCGCAGTCGTTGCACTTGATCAGGGGCCGCCCCGCCTCGGTCCGCCGGATTCGACCGGTCACCGGGAAGTACGAGTTCAGCCACGGGAACATCGGCTTCTTAATGTCCACAATGGTGAGCCCGTCGATCGTCTCGTGTTGCTCGAAGTAGTACACCGTCCTCACGTAGTGCAGCTTCATGACGAGGTCCACGTCGGCGAGCTCATGCACCACGGCCTCCCCGGAGACCGACCCGGGGACGACCGTCGACAGCTTGTGACCGTAGACGGCTGCAGCATCGCTGTTGACACCCATGGCAGTGAGCTAGCTAGCTAGAGATCAGAAGGTTAGTCTTGTGATGAGACAGTTGGGAGCTAAGGTTGGCGTATATATACGTGGCTCGGAGGTTGAGCCGCAATCATGGCAGCTGGAAGCCATTAATGCGACAGCAGTGATCGACGGGGAAGTCTCGTGCAGACAGGACGAAGGTGGGGGACTCGAGCAGTTGAATACGTCACACCATGAATGCAGACTTAAGTGGACATGATGCTAACTCTTTGGAGCACATCAAGGCGAGACAAGTGGGAAAACATAGGGCTACTTCCATCTTATTCTTTGTACTTAAATTATATTAATATTATGATTTTGTATCTATTTTTGTATATTAATTTTTTTAAAATATAATTATATTTATTCTAAATAAAAAAATATATCATATGATATTATACATCGGATCGACGTAAAAATGATAGACAAAAAGATAATTTTATGTTCAATAATTTTATCGATAAAAAAGATAATTTTAATATTATACTTATTAAAAATATTTTTTTTTGGTTATTTTTATGTTAATTGTGTTATATTTTCTGTCAATATAATTAATTTTCACTTTAAATTTTAATATATATTTTTTGAATATAAAAATTATAATATCAATAAGATAACTATGTGCAACGGATACCTAATTCTTGATTTGATGGCTGTGGCTGAGCGTTTTCGCACACCGTTCGGACTCCAATGTTTGATCGATCGTATTCTGGAGATAAAGTGGCATTAGATGCACTTCAAACCTGACTGTGAGAGATTGGTTGTCAGGTTAAAGGATTTAATGGCTTGCGTTCTTTGCCGTCATGTGGATTCACCGAAGTTAGATGGCGTGCTCTATCGCTTTCGTTCCTGTGATCGGGATCACGGTGACACGGCCACGGAGCGAGGGAGGAGGGCGGAGGGAGAGAAGCGGCTACGGAATGTGCCAAGGAACGGTGAACATTTACTTCAGCTCGCGGTTGGACATAAAGGCGAGGAGGATGTCGGTGACCAGCGGCGCTGACAGCTGCCTCGGGCCTGCCGCCGCTGGATCTCTGCTCCGGAGGAACAGGACGAGGATGGTGGGTGAGACGCTGTTGTACGGCAGCCTGCGGCAAGAGGAACCATGGGAAAGTGGAAGCGCGCGACTTCTCGTGAGATGTACAGGCAACGGTGTGCAGTAACGGCGGTCTGCAGTGGCTGAGAAGGGGACGTAGGCGAAGATGCAGCTGTCATGCATGAATGCGGGCGACCTTTCCATGGGAATGATGAGGAGGTTAAGTGGTGCTCCTCAACGGCCGGAGAGCAATTATGGGCGGTACATGGTTTGACAGGCCCCGAAGTAGGAGGAGAAGGTTGGCAGTGAGCAGTCAATTGTCTCTCCGCTTACCAACAACATGCCATGCTTATGTAGCACCGTCACCGGCCATGGTTTCAAGGATGTGAGCTCGTATGATCACTGTCAAAGACGGCGGGGGTTACTGAGCTGGTGACGTGGGTAGATCGACACCTAATGGGTTATCAATGCAGACACTTAAGGATGTGAGCTCAATAATGCGTGATGGGCGGTTCGACTGCCAACAAATGGAATAATGCACGATGGACAGTTCGAATGGAATTTGAAGTGAATCAATGAATTCTGCATCTGTTGTTCATAATTTCATATTCTCTCAGCTACGATTCAATTTCTGATGGTTCTCTGTCACGCTATGAGAGTGTTAGGTATGTTTGTCGGATGAACACTTCACATCATATTTATTTCAAGCTAATCTAATTTGATTATGCTCTTAAGACTCAATCAAATCATTTATCGACTTCTCTGTGCCATTTGTTACCGTAAGAAGAATTGGAATATGTTGGGTCTCGATCTCATGATTACAATATGACTTTGTATAAGTTGTATCACGTGAGGGGGTGTAGCTCATATGGTAGAGCGCTCGCTTCGCATGCGAGAGGCACGGGGTTCGATTCCCCGCACCTCCAAATAAGAAGATTTTATTTGGTGTATTATTTTTAGCATTAAGTAATGCTTCTTGTCTAATATTTAAGTTGTTCTCTAAAATAACACGTGAGGGGGTGTAGCTCATATGGTAGAGCGCTCGCTTCGCATGCGAGAGGCACGGGGTTCGATTCCCCGCATCTCCAATTAAAAAGATTTTATTTGGCGTATTATTTTTAGTTGAATTAATACTTCTAATATTTGAGTTGTTCTCTAAAAGAACACTTGAGGGGGTGTAGCTCATATGGTAGAGCGCTCGCTTTGCATTCGATTCCCTGCACCTCCAAATAATACCTTTTTTAGGGCATATATATAAAGTCAGGGATAATTCAATTGATATTTTGTGCTCTGGAACACTTCTTATCCAATCCCTGAGCTCAGAAAGATTTGGATTTGGATGGAGTTCTTTGGAGCCATGACCACATCCACCTCCTCCTTCCCTTCTTCATCCCTCCTCAGCCTCCACCGCTCCGGCAGCCCTCTCGCTCACCCCCGCCGCCAGCACCTGCTCTTCCCCAGCTGCCGCGCCACCGTCCAGCTGACCTCGGTTCCGGCTTCCGAGCCCAGTCCCACCAACCCCGGTCTCCACGCCGTTGGTCGGAGGGAGGCCTCTCTCGCTCTCGCCGGTCTCCTCTTCACCCGCCTCCTCGACTCACCAGCCCGCGCGGCCGACGAGCAGCCAGGTTCCCCCGGCTGCGCCCTCACCGTCGCCCCCTCCGGCCTCGCCTTCTGCGACCGCGTCGTGGGCAGCGGGCCCGAGGCCACCCAGGGGCAGCTCATCAAGGTGCTGCTTCCTTTTCTTGTCACACTCGACCCGTTCGTAGAATTGCCTCAATGGAATTGACCGTGTGACTTTGACGGTGGAATCTGCAAGGCGCATTACGTAGGGAGGTTAGAGAACGGGACGGTGTTCGACAGCAGCTACAGCCGCGGGCGACCGCTCACGTTCCGCGTCGGCGTCGGCGAGGTAACTATACCCATCTGTTTCAGCTCCCTCATCCACGAAACAGAGTCATGCACTCCCTCCTCCATGGCATCACCTCGATTTCGATCAATGTTCCCAGGTCATCAAAGGATGGGATCAGGGCATCCTCGGCGCCGAAGGAATCCCGCCAATGCTTGCTGGTACGCAGAATGTGGGAATGAATACATGATCCGGGTTGCGGGATACGTGACTCTACTCTCATCGAGTGTTGCATTCTTTCAGGTGGCAAACGTACACTGAAGCTTCCTCCGGAGCTTGCCTATGGCATCAGAGGTGCAGGCTGCAAAGGAGGTGAGCTTTCTACCAGAAATCCTCCACAGATCGAACAGATAAATTAGGCAGCACATCAAATTAGAACAGATAACTTGAACAAATGAATTAAGACATGTATATGCTCAAATGCTGTTTTGTATGGATCAGGTTCTTGTCTCATTCCTCCAAATTCCACCCTTCTCTTCGATGTCGAATTCATCGGCAAGGCATGAGCTCCTGCAGAAAGGAACTAGAATCAGCTCTAGCAGCTTGAGCATATGAAGCAGGCAAGAAGCATCACCTGTACAAGTACCTTTTGTAACAGCCATTCTTTCTTGAATGGAGATAGATAAAGAGGGAGAGGATTGGTGCAACGAGTATGTGAACAGGTGGAGAACATCAACACTGTCGTTCAATGAATACAAGTGATATATATTTTTTAATGATATGCTAGAAACACATGGCACAGGAAACTCTTAGCAGATGCAATAGTGTGTCTATCTGCAGGAAACATTGTGTTGTATATCCTTTATCTGCTCCACAACATTAGAGCTTAGGAACAGTTGCTGGGATCTTCATGAATCCAACCCCCTGAATGGATATACGCTTTTGCCGCAGATACACGACCGGCCCACTTATAAGTAACAACCCCCCCATAATCACCTGCAATAAAAGAGAGTTACTGGCTTTGAATCTTCAAAAGCTTGTAAAAATTGCTGCAGAATGAGTTAGATCTCAAACTAACATTTCCTGTTAATAGATAGAACAGTGGTCCACTACAATCATCTTACAACCCCTCTTAACATTTCTTAATGAGTCGCATGCTATGTTTCATGCTACTTCACCACCTGTTTGTAATGGTAATCATGAACAGGGCACCTGGTATTTCTAACATCCCTTGAGGTTTTGCGCGAGTCTTTATCTATCAAGAGGTATCTGTCAACAGGGAAGGGAAGGATATGTTGCTTATAAAAATTGCTGCAGAATGAGTTAGATCTCAAACTAACATTTCCTGTTAATAGATAGAACAGTGGTCCATTACAATCATCTTACAACCCCTCTTAACATTTCTTAATGAGTCACATGCTATGTTTCATGCTACTTCACCACCTGTTTGTAATGGTAATTATGAACAGGGCACCTGGTATTTCTAACATCCCTTGAGGTTTTGCAGGTATCTGTCAACAGGGAAGGGAAGGATATGTTGCTTATACATGCTTCCAGACAAGAAATCCAGATTGAACCTCCTTATGCATATGTTATAAGGCAGTTTGGAACCCGAAATCTTGTACGCATTCTTATACATTTTAATTTTGTTAATTACTAGGTAACACAGAACAGCACAAACTTCATTGGTTATCATCCAGTAATTAACTTATGAAGGTTTCCAGACAAAATAATGTTACTAGGTTCACACTTCACAAACCATATAAATCCAATATTCTAAAGAGTTTATGATGCAATGCCTTAAACCATTTCCGCAAACAAGACTTTGCCACCATCTTTTGCATCGTAACAAATGTGTCGAAGCCTCTCGAGTGGACAAGATCATCATCTTTTGCTCAAGACTGCATCTCCCTGAGATTTTTTATTAACCTTCCAATTCTAATTTGAACATGTGAGCAATCTATTGAATACACCACAACTATTTAGACTCTTGCCATTTTAGATGGACACTCTGCATTAGCACATAATACAAAGGTAGCTTTGTCTATCTCCTAGATATGGACTCAGTGGGGTCATCTACTTGTATCTTCTTTATAATCACCTATCATATCTTCATTATTTTCGATGATACTTTCCATTTTTTCGTCCAAAAAGTATTCAGTTTCTCATGAGGACCACTTATGTAAAGAAAGGTTAGGGCTTTATTTGATTGGATATGCCACTAACCTTGCAAACTAAAAGAGGTTTGAGTGTTAAATGATAAAAACATTTAGCACGTCCATATGAAAGCAAAACCATGAGACTCAAAAGATAGAAAAATAGATTATAGATAAAAAAGGCTAGATCGAAGCTTTGATCCGCAATAAAGTAAAGTTCCATACCTCAAAACCAAAAACAGATAATTTCTCTTCACCGATGACAGGTACACAGCTCCTGTAAGTAATGTAGCTCTGATTCCCAACTTCCCGTTTTACCGAATCATCCAAAAGTTTTCTCACTTTATAGTTGTTGATTGCATCAAACAAATGTTTTTGCACAATGGTTGGATGCTTTGGAAGAGAGGACAGCCTTCTCTTCACTTTATTCTTATTTTCTTCCTTGTCACTGTGTTTGATTTCTGTACACTTCAAAGGCACATGATAGCCAGTTTCACTGCAGAGAAACTTCTCATCATTCTGTAACCAAAAAAATTCAGAGTTTGTATGAGCAAACCAAAGCTGTAAAAAATAAGTAAATAAAATAAAGGAGAACAGTATATCAAATGAGATAAGAAAATTAGTGATACTCAGTAAAATCAAATGTCTTGAGGAAATCTTCATGTGACATATCTCTCTTTCAATTTTGCAGAAATTATTCTTCCTATTTTAACTATCAAAGGGTTGTTATGCTTATAGATGTCAAATGAGGATGAAAGTTTTTTCTTTCAAACTGAACTATATACAGATGGATTTCTGACTCATACTGGTCATCAACCAGTAATAACAATAAGACATTCTAATGAAAGGTATAAGTTTACAGCACAATCAAAAGTCAACTACATTTCCATTTACACAGAAAAATCTCCATGACTTGAGATACTAATACAACTACAAAATCCTACAATATCAAATAGTTTTTTGCTTATCAATGTTAAATGATAATATAAAGTTTTTCCCTTTATATATATATATATATATATATATATATATATATATATATATA